ATTTTTCTCTGTCTACTTTACATACTGCCATTGGATTACTCCCCCACCTTAACCCTGAGAATGTTGATTCTACTTTCAAATTTTCACTTACCTATTCTTAAAGGAACATTATAGTCACCAGAATCACTACAGCCTAATGTGGTGGTTCTGAAGTCTATAGCCTGTCCCTGCAGGATTTTTAATGTAAACACTGCCTAGTAACACCTCTAATGACAGTCACTCAGAAGGCCATTAGAGGTGCTTCCTGTGTCAGTATTGCACAGTGAGTAGCACTGGAGTTCAGCATCTACACGCTTTGCTTGAAGATGCTGAATGTTTCCCATTGATATCCTCCCAATGTTTTCCTATATATTTCCTACGTTTGTATTCCTGACACTATAGTGTGCCTTTAAAGTCTTGAGCTGCTAAGACTGCTGTACCATACCTCCATGTGTTTGACACATGAGCAGTATCGTTCACTAAAATTAATGTGCTACATAGTATTTTACAATGTTTAAACTATATTTTATGGTTGCGTTGTCTCAATAAAACCTAAAGATTCAAAAAGAAAATACATTATATCCATTTAAAAATGTAATTTCCCTTAATGTACTTTAATTAGAACACATCTTGATTTAAATGGTCCTTTAGGGATTAGAAGCATTCGATGTTACAAAGAACAAGTGTAAAATATTGTCATGGTGTGCTAAAATGTTTGGTCTGTGATAATTCTGAGCCACATTTCTATCAATATATTCGCCCTTTTTAAACTTCTAAGTGTAGAACTGCAGCTAAATTAGGAGATTATGTAATATCTCCCCCAAGGTATTTATCAACACTTTAAAATAAATCACAACACAGAGCATCAGACCTCAATTTATTCTAAAGCAACATGATATACATGCATTTAACGGCCATGCACTTTTATTTCACAGTGAAAAACTCATAATTTTAACAATTGTTTATCATTTTATAGTTTTTCCAATCAGTGTCAATGATACCAGAAATTAAATGGTGGATGTGTAGGTCTGAAAAATGAAAACCTGTACATCACAGCTAACGTTGTGTTGAACAATTTTAAATATTCTGGGGCTAAGTGTAGACCAGGATGAATTGATGTGGTTACCAAAGCACATTTGAATGAGAAGACAGATCCATGTACTGACAAGGGTTTGGTAGTTTCAACAGAATATATGCTTTAGTATAATGAAACTATTTAGGTCTATATGTTGTTTGTACTGATGAGTTTCTTATCACAACCTTAAAGTTAGACCTATGTAAGTAGGCATGCGTGATCAAATCAAACAAATCTTAACTCCTTCTACTAATTATACAAAATAAGGTTTAAATGAGATTACAAAGTATGACATTTGTTAAATTCTAATCAGTAAATATGTTGACAATAAAAATCAGCGAGGTTCCCAAGCAAATGGAAATTCAGTGCAAAACCAAAGAGGTATGTCAGTAGCAGGAATATAATTTGGATATTGAAATTTGGATATGATTTGCAAATAAAAGAATTGCAATAAATTAACAGGCTCTATAGTCTCTTTATTCGTGAGGACCGGTAAAGATAGATCACACGTAGGCTTGTCAACAAAGCTCATAGAATTGCAGGAACAGATAACACAACTGGTAAGGGGTAAAAACAAACCTATAGTATGGTGACTAGATTTGTCTTTTAAAGGAAGGGGGGAGGGGGGAGAGCGGGGGAGTGTAAAAAAATAAAAACACAAGGCATGTAGAAAGGCTGTCAAAAGGGCAGTACCAAAAATGTAAACCCAGGTATGAAGAGAAAAAAACCCCCCCAAAAAAAAACCCCTTTTCTTAATGGAGGTCTGCTGGACATGTTTTCAGTAAACTTCCTAATAAAAAGTGACACCTGTTCACCCTTATCTATGTTTATGGGTTGGTTCAGTTTCTATGGCAATCAGAATTTATTGTTGCTTGTCAGTCATTTATCAACTGTTTAATTTTTAATGTGTGAGCCACCGATCAAAACAGGTACACTGCAAAGATGGTTTGTAGTTCATGGATGACTATGGTTACATATCTGGTTAATTACATAATCACTGAAGTGCTTAGTGCAGATCTGTGCAAAGATTTTGGGTGAATAAAAAAAAAAAGTAAGACCACTTTGTGTTGATAAAACAATAAATCTATATAAACTTCCCACCTCCAAACCAGAAGTTTGCATGTCTGTAAAACAGTATTTTGAATGTAGATGTCTAAGTGGCTGTACTGCAGCATCCACGTTCCTCAGTATTCCAAAGTTTATTTAATTGCCTAGTAATAGATCATTTGATTTAGGGAAGCATGACGTTTACTTTCTGTGCTAAATTAAAATCAGACTTCAAGTTGCAATGGACCAAACTTGTATTTATTTTACTGAGTCTATAAGACACATATCCTTCTTGTAAACATAACTAAGTTTTTTTCCTTAACAGTTATATGCATTTGCCAGCTTCCTCGCTCTGTTTCCAGGATTATAGAAAAGAAACATAAAAAAAAAAAAAAAAAAATTGGCAAACAAAACAAGCAAATCTTTAATTGTGTTTTAGACCAGAAGGAGGTCTTTTTGTAAAACTGGGATCACTGGATAGAGTTATATTTTTAAGCCGTGTAAGTGAACCATATCATTTACTCTCTGCCTGTAGTAAGGAGCAGCAAGGCCTTTTGAAGATTCTGCACAGCAGTGCTTATGTCCTCATACTGTAAAGCACTGCCAGCATACTTGCAGTATTTCTGAGCTCTGGCAATATCTTCTGGTGTCAAGCGAACATCATCTGTTGAAAGAGAAAAGCAAATATATAACAATGCATTAGTGATAATATTAAAATGATACTTCGGCTTATTGCAGTAGTTTTGGTGCAGTCAAGTGGTTTTAAAGAGTTTTGAGAGAAAAAAAACCAGCAGATCCCTGGCAGCCAAAGACTATCCTCTCTGCTTAGGACATCCAAAATCATTTGGTTGTGCTCAATCACCATTACACGTTCCAGTTCCAACAAAATGACGCAAGCTCCCCACTGATTTCTATATAACAATGCAGTAAAGCATTAATACACACAAGTAATGTGTTGTGTGGTGCCACAATAATTGTATTTAGAAATTAGTTTGTTTAAATAAAATAATTTGTGCCCTTTCTAAATTACATACATGTCTGTCAGCATATCAATCATCTAAAAGGTTCCAGAAATGCTATACTATACTCCTACTACATCTCAACGTCCCCTAAACAAAGAAAGTTTACCTAGTAGGAAATTTTACATGTTGTCAAGTATGATGGGGGTTCCTAACACTATGGTCTTCATGTCCATAGTTCGTTTCAGGCCACCCCTGGTGAGCTCTATAAAAAACAAAAAACATTATCTTACTCACCTTTACTGCATTGCCGAATCTCTCAGGATGATGTTGGTCCAATCCAATGCTCCTCAGAGAAGCATTACTCACCGCCATTGATTCTTTTAGAGAATCAATGAAGGCAATGATTCTCTATGACAAGCTGTGTACGAGTGACATCACTGTATGCCAGGGTATGAGAACCATGAAGTAACAGTCCCGGCTCTCCTATCCAGAGGGCTTGGAGCTTCTCTTCAAGCCTTCTAATGATTAACATATTGCAATTTTGAGGCTAGGACATGAGTTGGACTACTGTAGGCACTACAACAACTTCAATTACATGTGAGTACAGTGTGCTATTAAATTTACCAGGTTATACTCCTTCAATTTAAAAATCATGATCACTAAGTTAAATTCAAAATGGAAGATTGCAAAATAGTAAGAAACACAGTACTATTTTATCGCAGATTAGTTTAGTTTTTCTATAAATATGGATCACTATACTATACATATATATATATATATAAACAACAGCCAATCACAACAGCCCATTGCAGATCAGGCTAATTCTTCCTTATTACTCTAATCAGCACAGAAGGGATGGGCTGATGGGAACTCTTGTTTATCGATAAACCATTAAAAATGCTTGAAAGCTGAATAGAACAATGGAGACATAGGAATTCAGACAGTATACTTCAATTAGATGAAGCAGTTACAGTGCCTACAGTGTCATTTTAAAGATCAAAGGGTTGCTTACATTGTTGTCTAGGTTGAAAAATGACTAAAGTCCATCAAGTCAGATCCTGAAGCCCATTCTTTTATGCTGTTCATCCAAAAGAAGGCAACCCACCCCCCTCCCCCCAACTGTTCCCATTACCATTTATGCAATAAAAAGGGGAAATTCCTTATTGACTTATTGATACCATAATGGCATTCAGTTTACTCATTGGTTTAATAATCTGTTGACATACATATCAATTATATCCTTGAATATTCTGTTTATGCAAAAAAACATCCAAGCCTTTTTAAAATGTGTCTATAGAATATGATAACACAGACTTTTTTGGCACAGGCGTCCACATCTTTAAGGTACTTATTGTAGAGAACAGTTTCCTCTGCTGTAAGCAAAACCTCCTTTCTTCCAGTCTCAACAGGTGACCTCTTGTCTGTTGTATATTCCTGCTAATGAACAGTTTAGCACACCACAGTTTGTACAGACTCTTTATATAGTGCTACCATATACTCCTGGAGGTGTTTTTTTTTTTTTTTAAAGAAAATACATTCATTTTTTTCCTCATAATGTTTACATCCCCCTTACTAGTTTTGTAGCTTGCTTCTACACTTTTTATAGTTCTGCAATGTCCTTTGGTACCCAAAATTGCACAACATATTCTAGGGGATTTGTAAAGATGCAAAATTATATTTGGATCACGTGAATCAAAATTAGCAGACCATCATTGCATACTGCTGTCTAGTTTGTGATCTATAATCGTTCCCGAGTTCTTAACCTTTAATGTTATCCTTAATTCAATCCTATTTAATGCATAAGTGGCTTGTGGCTTCCTTATTCCAAAATGCATGACTTTGCAATGATCTGTAACTGTATCTCGTCTGCCACTTGTCTGCCCAGTCCCCCAGTTTTTCCAAATCCCTCTATATCAGTGGTTCCCGAACCAGTCCTCATGGCCCACCAACAGTCCAGGATTTATGTATTTCCCCGTTTTATTCCAATGGGGATACTAACAAAACCTGGACTGTTAGTGGGTCTTGAGGACTGGTTTGAGAACCACTGCTCTATATAGACGTTATATATTGGACAGATTGTATTTTTTTTTTTTTACCTTGTTTTGTGTCCTCAGCAAACGTGATAAATAACTTTCAATGCCCACTTCAAGATCTTTTATAAACAGATTAAAGAGAAGTGGACCTAGGACAGAAACCCGAGGAACTCCACTAACCTTTTGTTCAATTTGAAAATTTTCCATTTACAACTACTTTCTGCGCTATCTTTAAGCCAGTGTTCTATCCAAGAACATAATTTTTCATCTAAACCAACTTATTCCAGTTTTACTAATAATCTTTTGTGTGGAACTTCCAAGTAGATCACATCTACTGGAGTACCCTGACCTATATTTCTATTAACTTCTTTGCATAATGCAATTATCAACTCATGTTGATTCTGGCTAATACTTTTGTTCAAAATGAATTCTTGAATATTATCCATTAACAGCCCTTCAAATCATTTCCTAACTATAGATGTTAAGCTCCCAGGTATGTAGTTTCCCGGTTGAGATTTTAACCCCTTTTTAAAAATAGGCATCACATCTGCTTTTCTCTTCTGCTTTACAGTGTTATGTTAATATGATTATTTTCTAACAACTATTAATGAGCTTCAGACTGAGGATGCTGTGAATGGCAATCTAAAAACAGCTTGGGCAATGTACTCCGTAAGAAAATAGTGGCTTTACTATATGGTAATCATTTCTTAATGGGGAATCACATTAAAGGTTAAATTGATGCAGCATTGCGTATGTGCAATAGATATCTCTTGTTTATGTCAACATTAATTGAAGATATGCAAGCTTTTCATTCATCACCTAGGCAAGATGTGCTGCATGTTTTGTCTCAGTGCCGCTCTCCTCTTACAGAATGACTTTTAAAACATAGATGCTCATATTGTCTGCTTGGCTTTTATAATGAGAAAGCCAATACCTTTGAGAAAGGTTTGTCCTTCAGGTGTGACAGATGAAGAAGGCTTTTATGCTTGAGTAAACATTCCACCCAGCCTGATACGAGACCAGGGGATACCTTGCTATTTACACAACTTACTGTGCCCTGAAGCCGACTCCAGCTGACGTTCAAACCGTATGTATTGAGGACGGATATATGAATGTGTGCCATTCTCCATCGCAGACTATAGAAAATAACTTCTAAAAGAGACTCTGTGCCCAAAGTAAGACAAACAATGTCTCAAACCATCAGGGATGAGAGCAAATGTTTAATAGAAATGGCTTTTAAAATATGTAGTGAAAAGGCTTTTTGTAAACAGTGGAAAAGCCTTTAGGCTTATCACTATTCAGCTCTAATGAATGATATTGCAAAGACTCAAACGGCAAATGGTTATCTTCCTATATTTAGCATCACTTTCAATTCCTCAGAGTATTACTACATGACAGTTTCGTAATGAACCACAAAGATTGTGTTTTCTAATTTATTTAGGTGTCACACTGTACTAACAATAACATTCATGAATGGTGTCCTAAATAATACCCTAGTCCCAGTCCTAGAGAGCAATCTGAGAACCCATTACATGACCAAAGATTTATATTAAACCTAAAAAAACAAGAATGAATTAGTGTCCATCCTTTGAATGCCAAGAAGTATACAGATTTGTCAATGTTAAATGAACACTATGAACCTGGTATATAACGGTCATATAAGAAAAATTTGCTACACAAAATATATTTCTATAAAGCAAATATTGTGGGAGTCTGACACTTTTCATTTGGCCACATTACTGCCAATATGTTTTTAATATATACCAATACAGGCACGGACTGCCAAATGCCTGGTGGGCCGCGATGGCCATGGGCCGAGGCCGGCAGGGGAGGTCACAGGTCATACTATCCGAGCACTGGCCCTGCTGCATTCCCAGGCCTCTCTGCCCCGCCCCCTTTTTAGTGGGCCGCTGTGACTAAAAAATGCCTGTGCCAATTTTTTTCCCCAGTCCGGCCCTGTACAGATATAATTTATTTTCTGCATACTTTGAAAAAACCAAGAGAAAAACAATAATAATATATATCCGGTATATCTCCTGATTTTATAGGATTATATAAGTATAAGTATAAGTATGTGAAATATGTAATTATTTTGCTGGTCCTATCTTATGGCACTTTAGAGCTCACAAATTCTGATTACTCCTTACATGCAAACAATTTGCTCACATGCTGTGTTTTAGCTCTAGCTTACAAGTTTCTTTCTTTTCACATTTTTTTTCTGACAAGAATATAACACATGCTATTATAGTAAAAATTACCACCCAACAGCTCATAAAGCAGTGGTAGCTATACTAGAAGCAAAGTTACAATTCACAGAGGTGGATAAAATCGTGGACCCAGAGGGCAGGCACCTCTTTGTGAAGGCAGATGTGTTTGGTCGTAGGTACATCCTAGCAAATGTGCATGAACTAACCCAAAACTAATCGCACTATATTTGCACCATCCTTGCTGAATTATCCATCTTCACTGAGGGGGTCCTGATCTTAGGTGGAGACCTTAATATCCCCCTGTAGCCTATAACAGTTTCCTCATTCGGGCATAGCAGTGTTCCCCAGAGTGCCTTAAGGGGCATACACCGGTCCCTCCGGACACTCAGATTGCTGGAGAGTAAAAAAAACCTCAACTAGGTACTGCACCCACTATTCAGCCATCTACAAACAGTACTCACGTAGAGACTTCCTGTTCCTACAACAGGAAAACTTTTTCTGCATTCAATTGGTCTGAATAGGCGCCTCCATATGGTCGGACCACAGCCATGTAAAAATGGTAATGGATTCACCGTTGTCGAAGCCATGTAAATGGACCTGGAGGTTAACCGATTCCCACTTATAGGACCTAGCAGTCCAGGAAACTGTTTCCCAGGCTATTACCTTCTACTTCTCTAAAAATACCCGAGGGACCAAACCGATGTCACGATACAGGAGGCCCACAAGAGTGTCATCAGAGGTTCACTTATTCAAATCACGACACAGAAAAAAAGCTCAAAAGCAGCTTAGTGACCTGTTGGAAGCAGTCTCCAAGCTTGACTGCCAGCACAAGCGATCCCAAGTAGAAGCTGTATACAATGACAAATTGGAAACTCATGGGAAACTGCTTACAATGTTATCAAATAGGTATTTTAGGAATTCACAATACATTAAATATTTCTTCAATTCACATGCAAATAAGGGGGGCAAATTACTGGCACGGATGCTCAATGGGCAACAAACTGATGCACAAGTGCATAAGATCAAAACTGCTCCTGGGCGCTCAACCCAACTACTAGAGGAATTTGCTGGGGAATTTAGTGCCTTCTACTCCTCTGTGTATAATAATCGCACATCCCAGAGAGGACGGCCCTGAGGGAGACTGGGAGCAAAAGACAACACAGTTCCTTTCAGACTACATCATGTCCGTCCTACAATTGGAAGATGCAGAGGCACTTGATCTACCAATTACAGAGGAGGAAATCTGAACGGATATCAAAACGTCAAAGGCAGGCCACGCACCGCGTCCTTACGGATTTACCCTGGAGTATTATAAAAAAATTCTAAAACCTCTTAGTACCTAACTAAAGCACTCAACGCACTGACAACAAGGGGCAGATTTCATCAAGAATCTTCATCGGCCATAATAACAATCTTACCTAAGCCAGGGAAGGACCAAGAACTCCGCGGTAGCTATAGATCAATTTCGCTGCTCAATGTTGGTGCCAAACAAAGATATTGGCCACCAGACTAGGAACAAGACTACCTGAACTAGTCCAGTCGGATCAAACAGAGAATCTAGAGATAGAACTCTCCAAATAGTATCAATTCAACATCTTGCATGAAAAAACAAGACTGCCCTGCTCCTCCTATCCACAGACGCGGAAAAGAGGTTGGACTGGGTGGACTGGTCGTTCCTCATTTAGACTTTGCGTGGTATGGGCTTCAGTGCCAAAAGGCTGGGATGGATTGTAGCCATTTATAGTTCCGCAAAAGCCACCATACAAGTATATGGCGTCCTGACAAACAATTTCCAGATCCGTAACGGCACCAGACAGGGTGCCTGCTGTCACCGCTCCTATTTGCGCTGACAGGGGAACCATTCCTGGAGGCAAAAAGACAGAACGGTGACATCTCAGGCTTCCTGTGGAAAAGTACTCCCCACAAGGTCGCAGTATACGCCGACAATCTACTATACTTTATAACTAATCCACAAACAACCCTACCCAGCTTGCTTTCAATGTTCGGGTCTTATTAAGCCTTAGCTGGATTCAAACTTAATCTTTTTAAATGTGAAATACTCTCAATATCCTTTCCCAAAGGTGAGAGCAAAGTCCTCCATCCTAGGTTTCCTTCTCACTGGTGTGAATCCTCTCAGAATTTGGGTAACAGCGGACCCATCATTGTTATATCAGATTAATTTCACACCCCAACTCCAGAAAATACAAAAAGATCTTAAGATGTGGCACTAACCTCACATCTCCAGGCAGGGTCGTATAGCCGTTATAAAAATGAAAGTCCTTCCTAGACTCTTATACCTTTTTCAAACAATCCCACTGGCACTACCTGCAACATTCTTTGCGGCCCTCCACTCGTCGATCATACGATATGTTTGGCGAGGAGACAGATCTCGGCTTCGACATGTACTGCTCTGTCTTCCCAGACACTATGGCGGTTTAGCCCTACCAGAATTCCATTAATACCACGAGCCACCATTAGAATGGTACTCACACCCTAAGCAAAAGCAATGGGTGTCACTAGATAAGAGTAGTTTGGAATGCTCACGGCTTGCATCTATGTGAAACTCCAAACATACTTCACCAGAGAAACATGATCCAAAATGCCTAGCAGTTCAGATGTTAAAAATATGTGACAGGCTCCGCAGAGCCTCACACATTTCTCCTAAACCGATCCCGAAGATCCTGGTAACAAACAAGGACTACTGCCTCGAGCGTTTGAATTCTAACATACCCTTACTTAGAGCCCTACAGAACGCAGGTCTGAAACCACTACCGGAACTGTTGGC